TCATCAGCAAACTTGCTGAGGGAGCACTCTGTGCCTTCATCCAGGTCATTGATGAATAAATTGAACAGGACTGGACCAAGGACTGACCCCTGGGGGACCCCGCTAGCTACAGGCCTCCAACTAGACTCTGCACCACTGATCACCAGTCTCTGGGCCCTGCCATCCAGCCAGTTCCTAATCCACCTCACTGTCCACTCATCTACCCCACACTTCCGGAGCTTGCCCAGGAGGATGTTGTGAGGGACGGTGTCAAAAGCCTTGGTGAAGTCTTAACTATCTTCAGTATATCAAAAAGGTGCATACATAATGCTCTGCAGAAGACAACATGAGCCTCTCATATTTTCTAAGATAAAATGAGCTCAACCAGATTTATAAGAACAATATCCACACAAAGATATCTGTGTAACAGATGCTTTTCTTTTAAATGTTGGGTGACAGAGCACTGGAACAGGTTGTCCAGAAATGTTGTGGAGTCTCCTTTTCTGGAGATCTTCAAAACCTGCCTTGACACTATCCTGTGCAATGTGCTTAGGTGACCCTGCTTGAGCAGGCGGGTTGGACTAGATGATCTCCAAAGATCCTTTCCACCCTTAACTGTGATCCTGGAACAGTCAGCTGCACATCTGAGTGGCACATAGCAACGCTACACCAGGTTACTTTCGAAACAAGCAGTACAAGCATAGCTAAAGGACTGGCCACCAAAGCAAATATCTCTTACCAGCTTGGGCAGGCTTCTTCTGGAAAAGACTCTGCGGGGACAGTGGAGATGCAGGTGGGCAGAACACCAGCTCCTCATGTTGAGCCACTCCACAGTTCGGGAAGGCAGAGGCCCATCCTCTTTGTGAAGCAGGACAAGCTGCTTCTGGGCTCGGACAGCTGTGTTCTCCAGCATCCTCTCCAGCTGCAGCACATCAGACACACCAAAGGAGCCTGAGCATCAGGCATTCACACATTTACATCCATCTAACACACATATATATACACACACACAGAGCTTGTAGTGCACTCTGATCCGTATTCACATCTTATTCTGCAGACACTAAGAACCTCAGAGAAGACTGAATTAGGCAAATACATTGACTCCTTTTTTCAACTTTTGCAGGAGTCACGGATCTGAGTAATAAACTTTGGTAATCAAATATGAAAGTAAAAATAAGTAGGAGGAGAAAATACAGCTTACAGTTTGCATCAACATATGTTAAACTTTTCCTATAGTACAATTTATATCTAGTTTTTTGAGGGCACACAGCATGAATTCCACCTAGGCAGAAAAGACTTAGCCCATCTATGTGGAGATCCTCCAAACAAATTCTGGACAGTAATGTGTTATTGCTTCAAAGCACATTTTTTCATTTACCATTGACTAAAGCTGAAAGATCCTGCAAGAGAAATTTCTTGCAAATTTTCAACAAAAGCATTTTTAGCTCTTTCAGAGGATCCTCATTTAACTCTTTCTATTTATAACACACGTTTCATTATTCATGTTTTGGTAGATATTAAAATTCATACGGCAAACATCTGAACTATTAGCACTGCAAATATGAGAAGAAGCTAGTGCCAGACCTCTCCAACAGTGGGCTCCTGGTCTCCCAGCCCCACTATCAAGATGCAGTCAGCCTGCCTGATGCAGCGCTGCGTCCATGGAGTAAGGGTGCTGTCTGCCTGGTATAGCACAATGCGGTGAATGTCCTCCTGCTGTCCCAGCCAGCTCGTCAGGCGGTACTCATGGATACTGGGGGAAGGAAAAGAAAAAAGTAATACACACACACACACACACACACACACACACACACTGCAGCTCCTGCCTAAGTGAAGGGTGAATCCAACATGGAAAGCTTAGAGGCCGAACACAATACCTGGAGTGCAAAGACATGGCTTTCCCTCTCATTCACTGACAAGGGCCTAAAATTCCAGAAACTTTGTGATTTATCCAAGATTTTAATGAGCAAAAAAAAATCTTTCCTTTTCTCTGTCATCAGGCTTTGCAAATAGCACTGTTTTTGCACTCCTAAGAGACAAGGGAAGACACTCTCGGGAGCTACCAGACTTAGAGGCTTTTGCAAGACTCCAGAGCCAAAGTGTACACAGACGGCCAGCAGTGCAGAGCCTCTAAAAAAGCTATTTTAGAAGCAACGTCGGCCATAATCTACATTCCGATGGACAGATAAGGTGAATACAGCACAGATATTCAGTGCATTGTATGGAAAATGGTTATGTGAAACACTATATTTGGAAGACCAGCAGAGTGTCTTTGTGTTTTTCTGTAACTGGCAAGGCAGGCAGGTACCTGTCCAGCGCTGCAGAACCCAGTCGCTGTTTGATATTATCACTTGTGAGCAGCAAAGCAGGACCTAGAAGAAAAAAAATTACTCAGATGCAGACATCTGCCAATCAGGTCTTGACAAGCTCTATCAAGAAAACGTAGTTACATGACCATAACAAATGTAGCATCGAGAATTTGCTTCAAAAATCACAATGAAAAAGTGCGCTATCTAGATTTATCATAGAGGAAAGGGTTGCACAAGTCCTAGCAAAGATTTTCCTACTTACCAGCAATAGCATCTTCCCTTTCCCCATCTTCTCGCGTCCTGTTTTCACATTAGTCCCAGCCTACGAGATCTCTTGTACCGCATCCCTTAATAATCTCACATTAGACAAGTCCCCACTGCAGCTAAATTCATGTGCCCCAAGCAGAACACTGAGCATATCACACACCTTGTCTGACCACAGAGAACTTTGCAATCGAGCTTTAATATAACAAGCAAACCCTGCTATTTCTTTGACCTACCAAAACACATTATTTGTTCAACCTGCACTGAGATAACTCCGTAGACGAATCCTGAAACTCTCCAGTACTTCCTACTTCTTAATCAATGCCCCAGCTGAAATCTACAACATTTACCACCCTCAAGTACAAAAAGACTCCCAAATCTGCAGGGCATTGTTGAATTCACAATTCTTCTACTACAGAGTCCAAATTTCAGACATTTCCGCCACAGCTCATGACAAGCAGCTCCTTGACAACATTTTAGCCTATTCTTTTTAGGAAGTCTGGTTTATCAGCAGCACTACATGCCATATGTGGTGGAGGCTGTAGAATAACTGCAGGTATATGCAAAAAGCAAAGAAAATAAACTTAAGGAAATTATCTCATACCAAAAGAAAAGATTGTGTCTCGTGTTGAGACCTACATTTACAAACCTAAACTAACAATTCCCCTGTACTAATGTTTTCCCAATGTAATATTCAACTTTTTCATTAAAACAAGAACAGATATTCATGTGTGAAATAGCAAAACAATTTATGACATGTGGTCTCTAAAGGCATTAAAAAAGAGCAGCATCGCTTAATGTATTTAGAAGAAGCCATGAATGAATAGAATGGTTAAAGGCCACAATTTCACCCTTACATGCTAAAAAAAATCAAAAAATATCAGTACCTAGAGCTGTCCATGCTAACCCTCAGGCTCAACCAGGTTTCTCTGATAATGCTCCATTCCTCCTGCCAAGCGTCAACTCTGATTTAACATATTTAAGCATTAGGTCTAGACAGGAACTTAGAATTTTGATCTTTATTCTGGTGTTTCCAAACAGCCGTGTTGGTTCTCTGATCTAGTTCACCTTTCAATCCCAAGAAGTTGGGCTGATAGTTTTGGATGGGGCAGGGGAACTGGGAGAGCTCCCAGAAGAAACGTTTGTGACGTTGCATCCAATCAAGACAGTACGGAAAAACGGGCAGGGAAGTTTTGAGAAAGCATTCAATGCCAGGGTCACCATTTGCGTCCATTAATGTGCCAAAGCTCTCACCCAAATAGAAATGATATGTAGACCAAGTATTCTTCCACAGTATATAACTTACAAAGCTTTATGACAGGGAATTTTAGTGGGCAAGAGGCAAGCAGCCGGAAACATAAAATGAGCTAAGGAAATAAAATAAAAATGTAAAATTAGAGATATTAATGTCAAAGAAGGGAAGGAGGGAGTACAGTGCTCCATCTTTGCGTTCATTTGCATAATACACTCATTTGCTTTTAAATATGCATATATTCATTTTGCTGCTAGAGCATGAGATCGCTGAGATATAAGAACTTGACTAAGGGAGCAAAGGCAGCACCTCCCCAATGTGTCACACTGAGGGCACATGCCCTCTGGGGAACCATTCAATAGGGGCACGGCAGCCAGGGGTCAGACGAGCCCGCCAGGATACCTACCTTATGCAGCATCCTTTCTCACAGTCTGTTATTCAGAGCATCAGCATGGAGCAGGCGGATGCTCCCCATTGAATCCGCTCCACTTTGCCTCAGAAATCAAACCATCTGCTCTACACTTCCAATTTCTTGCAAAGTGCCCAATTAACCAGCCATTATGTAACCCTCCCTTTCATCAGTGGAATCATGGACACCCAACATATGTGTTCCCAAGCATGTAAAACAGAACGACCATGAGCGTTATTTAAACTTAACTACCAGAGCAATGAAAAAATCCCTCTCAAGTCCATATCCTTGATACAGCCGTATCAGTAGGCAGGAACATCCATGATGATGTGTTACTGCATCCTTAACACACAGCATCATAGTCATCACGTCGTCAACTACTGACGCTCTCTCTACACCTGAGATTGACCACATAAGCAATTTACTGTTTAAATTAGCTACTGAAAGCACCTTTGCATCCTCCAACCACTGCTGGCAACTGCTCAGTGCTTTGCTGTCTTGGCAGAAGCAGACATGGGGTTAACAAAGCAAAGAACATGAAGGGTTAGACGAGGTAACACTGAATATTCATGTAGCCCATACGGTGCCTCTGACTATGCCCAACAGCAGACTGTGAGGCAAGAGTGCGAGAGCAAGAGGAACCATGGCACTCAAGCTCCCAGCAAACTGAACTTAATGGATTTCTCATGACAGAGTTGGTGACTTTTAAAAGCCCAATCATAGATGGATTTTTCTTTCTGCAAACTCATTGGGTTTTCGAACCCCAGCTTTCATGCAGTTGTACATGCAGACGATTCTCTGCAGAGAAGGACCTGGGCGTCATGGTGGACCATGAGGCAGCAGTGTGCCCTCGTGGCCAAGAAGGCCAATGGGATCCTGGGGTGCATTAAGAAGAGCGTATCTGCCCTATGAGGAGAGACTGAGGGAGCTGGGCCTGTTCAGCTTGGAGAAGAGAAGGCTGAGAGGGGACCTGAGCAGTGTCTATAAGTACCTCAAGGAATCAAGGGAGGGAGGGAGGAGGATGGTGCTGGCCTCTTTTCAGTGGTGGCCACAGACAGAACTAGAGGAAACGGCCACAAAATGAAGCATCAAAAGTTCCACAGGAACTTAAGAAAAAATTTCTTAACAGTGAAGGTGACGGTACACTGGAACAGGCTGCCCAGAGAGGTTGTGGAGTCTCCTTCTCTGGAGATCTTCAAAACCCGCTTGGACGCAGTCCTGTGCTACGTGCTCTAGGTGACCCTGCGTGTGCAGGATGGTTGGACTAGATGGTCTCTAGAGGTCCCTTCCAACCTTAAGGATTCTATGATTCTATGATAAAATACAGCGTGGTGGCGTCCAACATGTCCCCAGGCATAGATGATCATAAGATGCTGTTATGACAGTTTTGTGGAGCATCTAAATGGGCATCCTGAACTCCTCACTTTTGCAAGACACAACTACAAATCTGTGAAAGATTTATCATGGCAAAATTAACTGAATTTCATCAGATTAGAATATTAATCTGGCCTAACAGATGTCTACAAAATTATACATTAAGACCGAACTGCTAAGAAGGGTTCAAAGTCCCAGCGTCAGAAGTTGTTGCCCAGCAAAGCACACAGACCCAGACGTGCCAGGTCCGGGCATCCCCGTCATTTCACCAGGGGAAATACTTAAGATTTAAATCTAACTTGTGTGTAGAGGAAGGAAATCCTGGCAGTCTTGCACATTAAAAATTCCAATAAATTACTATTAGGAGTATTTCAGTGAGACTTCAAATATATTACGCACTTTTAGAAACTAGATGATGTGTTTTCTTTTCTTTTTTTTTTTTTTAAGGAAGGATAGAAAAAAGTTGGATCAGAATCATTCTCTAGTTTGATTTTTTTTTTTTTTTAAATATGCCAAGGTTGTTCTGGCTCCCACAACCTGCCATATCCTACATTTAAAAAAAATAATAACGGATTTTTCTCTCCAGTTCAGGAGTAGAAAACTCTCTCCCTGCTTTTCTGAATGTTATATTCCAATTGCTCTTTCTCTGGAGTTCCAAAGACCAAGAGTCAAACAGAGTGTTTTTTTCTGTTTTGTTTTGTTTTTTAAATGCTCAAGCACATGTGCAAACTGAATAAGGAAGCACCGAAGATGTCTCTGTTCACTATTATCTGCAGACTCTCCTGTTTGCTGCTCAATGCACACTATATTTTATAACTATACCTTTCTCAAAATGAGGGCAGATTAATGTTGAGTTATTTTTCTCCATTATCAAGTAACTGCTTCACAGTCCAGCTTTTGAACAGAACAAACTCCATGGAAACATGAACATCCTTTTGGATTTAATTAGGGTACAGTCACAGAGTCCAGAAGCGATGTCTGAACTGAAGTATTAGCACAAGTGCAGACACCAAATCTCAAAGAAACCAGAGCAATTTGTTGGAGCAAGGCTGGGTAGAAAGGTCTAGGGCAGTGCAGCACACAGCCTTCTCTGCGTAGAGAAGACACAATGTGCCCTCAACCAAGCAAACCAATAAACCCTGCTCTGACGGGGACTACCAGCTAAGAAGGAAATTATTTTGCTACTTCTGTATCACAGAATCCAGAGATTTGAGACCATTTGAGAATCGCTATGCACTGTGGTCCAAACCAGAACTCAAGTTAGACAAACTGTTTCCAGAACAAAAACATTGCTTAAGAAACCATTGACAAAATGCTCTTTATCTTGTATTTTTTTTTGGATGGGCAGCACTGAAGTTAGGTTCCTGCTCCTTCCCTCATGTGACCTGCTGTTCATGACCCAACACCAATTTGGGGAAGACAGTGGCCATTCTCACCAGGGAACTCCTTGAAAACAGCCAGAATCCCAGGCTAAGTTCATCTGATGGTCATCTAATTTTGCAGTTTTCTTTTTCCCCCTCCTCTTTTTAACAACTCAGTCTGCACCCAGACCATGCTCCCCACCACGAAGGTCAGACTGAAATGAGGGTAAATTGCTTGTAAGATTTGTCCATGGATGCCCATATCCTGTGATTACACCTCATTATGGTTCTTGCAATCATCTCACTATTACTGTGTGCTTTGTCCTAGTTTCTTCTATCCCCTTGTCCTCAATCTGCCTGGATTTTAAACTCTTTGAGGAAAAGAACATGCTTCTGCTCTTACAGAAGAGGTTACATCATGCAGTCAGGGGACAGTGTGAAGCAAGGGGAATCTAGGCACCACTGCAACATTCATCTAAGTTAATATTAACAGGAGGAGTAAGAATTTTTCTAAAACCATATATACATATATGCACTAGAGAGCTGTTAGCTTGTTTCCAACCCCTGCAAATTCATCCCTGCCATGTTACCTTGCTTGACTCAGGAATGCGCTTTCAAGCTTTGATCAATGAAACAACACAGACTAAACCTTGCCTTCACTAACAACATCTGATTATGATTTAAAATGAAGCAAAAAAGTTCAAGCAGCACAGAGAAGAAACAATAAGGGACAAAACAAACAACAAGAACATCCTGAACAACAGGAAATCTGCACAAACCTCAAAATTACTAACGTGCATCAAAACAGATAATCTCAAGAGAAAGGTGCTCAATTAAGATTTTCCAAGTGTACACTTAAAAAGAACACAAAGCATCCAACCCCTCTCACCATTTCCATAAGGAAGTTTAAGGTCCAGTAATAGTCCACACCAAAAAGCCAAATGCTGCATGTCCAATTTACGGTGAGCGGCAGGTAAGCACTTATGTTGGAGCTTCGTGCCTGCTCTACCCAATAGCTGCTCCCTGAAGACCTAATACAAATTTTATCACATATTGTTTTAATTTCCCCATATGTAAAATGAATACAGTTCTAACTGATCAAGTGAATACCAAGAGAGTCTAAAAGTAAACTGAAACTGTGCTTCACAGTACCAAATTGACTATTAATTTTTTGACCGGAGGAGTAGGAAGAAGATCCTTCCAAAAACCAACCCCTTTTCTCATAGCAAAGCACCATCTGGCGCATGACACAGACCCCCTTGCCATGCACTGAGAAAGAATATCCAAACAGTTTGTTGTATTAGCATAAAGAAGAAAACACAAAAACTATATCAAGAGATAGAGAGGACTGCTGCTTCTGCTAAAAAGAAACAGAATAGGGGCTACAGGAAACAAAAACACCAGGCAACTAGCCAGCACTTAGACACAAGCCGTGAGCCAGCGGCAGTTTGAAGCACTGCAAGGCTGAATAAACAATAGACCGACCTGATGAAGCGGGGCTAGCAAGGCCAGCGAGCTAAGAATCTGCTCTACCAGCTGTGTTTTGAACCATATGACTTGATGTGTTTTCACACAACACTTTCCTCTTCCCACTGCAGCCGTCTGCTGTGTTTTTGCAGGAACTTCAGATGCCAGGGCTGCACAGTGCCCTCCGTGGCCTCCAAGCACTACGCACTCATCACTTTAGAAGCAGACAAGAGACGGGAGAACAAGCAAAGTCTGCGTGATCAAAACAAAACCCTGAGTTTGCTGCAGGACGCTTTCATCTAGACAAGATATTTTTAGTCTGAATAGCCCTTTTGCAGACTAAAGTTTTGTTTTGCGGGCTCCTCATGCTGTAACATAGCACAACAAGCCAGCAACAATCCATACTAAGTATCCATTAGCAAGAGAGCTAAGGTTAAAATCTATGAACTTGAAATTTTTCAGCCATCTCTCAAAGTAAGAGGCATTTTTAAAACATGAAGAAATTTGTAAGCACTGTGACACATTACCATAAGTTGCATTTATATTTCAAAAGTTCAAAGAGTTCAATGTCAGGTTCACATTACAGCTCTTAACGTTTCATAGATACGATGGGTTTGGATGCTAGCAAAGTGGATTTCTAAGCAGCCTATGTTATAAGAAAAACCTTTCTGTGCTATTTAAAAAAAAAAAAAAAAAGGTAACTCTGACCAGTTCAGCAGTTTTGAGCTCCTCTTTCCACTCCTCCCAGTACTTCACAGAATCTGTCCTGGGTTATTTTGAATATTTCCTACAGCATTCACAGTCCTCACCTTCATAACAGAAACACAAAAAGCATCAGAAACTTTTGCGACTGAAACATGACTGAAGTTTCCAGTTTTCAGGCTCTCATATTCTCATTTTAAGCTCAGAATTGCAAAGAAAATATGGCCACTGTCTGATGGAACTCAGATGCCCAAAACCTCAACTCCTGCCAACTTCTCTTTCTGGTATCAAGCATCAACAATATCTTTCTACTGCTGTTCAGCCCTAAGTTTAAAGCACATAAGTACCAGCAGCTCTAGACACAACTAGGGTAATACAAGATGCAATACAGGAAGACCGGTAATACAAGATGCAATACAGGAAGACCTAACTGCAGATAATTTGGACTACTAGTGTTTGGACTACCAGAATCTTCTCCACAAATCACTTCATGAACAGATCTTATGCCTGCTGCTCACAGAACTACCTCAACAAAAGTCTGATCTTGAGCACCACTCCACAATTTCCCCTGAAATGCA